TGATCGATTCGATTGGATGTAGAATGGAGGAAAAATAATTTCTATTTTGAAAAAAAATTAAAAATCTTGAATTATTATTATATTGGAAAATGGGATGGAAGTAGATGAATTTAGAATTTATTTATTATTAATTATTTATTCCGGGGAATTATTTATTATATATATATGTATAAGCCAGTATATAAGCCATTTAACATAATAACATTAATTTCTTAATTTGTAAGTTATAATTGCTATTATTTGATAGATTTGGAAATTTTCCTTATTATAATATAATAGTTTTTCAAAGATAAATGATATGATTAAAAGCCCCTGAGTAAGTTATCTATATCTTTTTTATTTCTTCCCTTGTTTTCTATATTGGATTAAAAACAATTATTTTTTATGAAATTAAAACAAAGAAAAAAGTTTATACAGCCGTGTCTATATAAAATAGTATAACTATAGTAGTGTTATATACAGTTTATTTTTAAATAAGCAGCATATTTTTAAATAAACAGCATATTTTTTTATTTCAAACCCAAATTTTAACAACCATGCATGTTGATCAAAGAATTAAAAAAAAAACAATGTAAATATTGTTTTAAAACTTTTTGGGTTAATGTTAAATAAAAAGTTCAATGTTTCATTGTCATTATTACTTGTTTATTCCTTTTTCTTTTTATCTTAAAGGGGGTGGGTGATTTTAATTAATATTAATTAACTGTTAATATGAAAGAAAAAAAATTAATATTATTCAATTTGTACAACAAAGATTTTTTTTTTTGGAACTCTCAAATTCCAAATTCTCAAATAAATAAAAATGAGAATAAGAAAAAAGGTTACATTATAAAAAAAGAATTATGGCGACTAGTCCATTATAATAATATTTACATCACGTGTTGTCGAATTTTTACACACGTCAAAAAAAAAATTAAACACGTAGAAAAACAATCAACACTTAATATTTGTCATTGTTCTCGGATTTTTTTTTCTTTAAAAAAAAGCGTGTTTTTATTATATATTTTTTTTTTAATTTAAATTTTAATAATCAAATTTTAGAGTTTTTTTGTTTTTTTTTGTTTTAATAAAGTAGGAATT